TGGGGTGGGGAGAATTACTTCCTGTTGCCCTAGTCCTGGATGGCATCTGAGGATGGGTCGCTGGCATTGCTGGGACAGAAGAGGGGAGCAGAGGGCAGTCAGAACCTCCACTTTAGAAGGTAAGAAGCTACAGCTGGGCAATGCTGTGGTTGTCTATAACTATGCCGCAAATTAGCGGCGGAATCAGGACTGAAACCGCACCTCCTGATGGCCACAAATCAATATCTCTTTGAGTTAAATTACCTTGGCACATTTCCTATTAGGATTGTTACTAGTTTTAAAGCTGGGATCTTTGGTCAGAACTGATTGCCTTAAGTAAGTGCTGCAGCTGTATGGGCACCCAGTGTGAATGCAAATTTTTCTTCACTTGAGGAAGGTGGCTGCAGATTTTAATCTAAGGGCAGTGAGTTTGAGGGTTTCCTGATGCAGCTGGGCAGCTGGGAAACAGACCCTTCCAAGGTGCCACTGTGGAGATGAGTCCTGGCTTTGCCACAAGTCTGCAGTTTTGTGTGTTTGTCAGTTTGTTTTTTGAGACAGGGTCTTGCTCTGTCACCCAGGCTGGAGTACAGTGGCATGATCATAGTTTACTGCAGCCTCAACCTCTTGGGCTCAAGCAAGCCTCCTGCCTCAGCCTTATGAGTAGCTGGGATTACAGGCACGTAGCATCATGCCTGGCTAACTAAAAATATATTTTTTTGTAGAGGTTGGGGATCTCACTATGTTGCCCAGGCTGGTCTTGAACTCTGGCCCCAAGTGATCCTCCCACCATGGCCTCCCAAAGTGCTGGGATTAGGGGTGTGAGCCATTGTGCCGGGTCTGAGCCTGCAGCTTGACCTTCATCACATCATCACCCCCCTGGGCTTCACGTTCCCCATCAGGAAACCAACATGGAAAGGGGAGGAGATTAGACTCAAGTATCTTCTGGGTCTAGGGGTTGAGGTCCTGCAGAAAGGCAAGGCTTTGTGCTGAGAATTTCAGTTCACCACCACACTCTGGACTGAGTCTTATTTGTGCTTTAAAATGCCCTGACAGCTTATCTTGGCTCAAGCCTGAGTTTCCCCAATGACTTCCGGTTTAAAATATCTTTTCAAGTATTAGTAATTCAAATGATTGGCAACTTCTATCCCCTCGGGGCCCAATTCTTCCCTCCACACACTGTGTAGTTCTGGTCACACATAATAAAGTCCCCAGATACCCGCGGCTGTAGGAGAAAGCCATGTGCTTGGAGAGGAAACAAGACTGGAGGTGGCCTTCTGGGCAGGAGCCCTGGAGAGTGTCTCCTATAGCCTGACATGCCACCCACCCTCAAGCTTGCATTCCTGCATCCAGGAGAACACCAATTTTACACAGACAATTGCTGCTGGATCGATCTTTCTAAGACACATCAGAACGGCAGTGTGGTGCAGTGGATGGCTCCCTAGCCGGCTGCTTCTGCTGGATCTGCCACTAGCGATCTTATCAGCCTCTTAATAATATGAGCCTCAATTTTAAAACATTCACACAAGCACGTGCTGTTGCTATTCTGCTTGTGTCCTCCTTACTGGACTGGATGTTCCTTGAAAGCTGTGACCTTGTTGTCTTCGGCTGTGTTGTCTTTGGCACCTACTACACAAGAGGCACTGAATCCATGATGGTGAGATGAATGTTTGAACCAAAAAGGACCTAGCATTTATTAGTGCCAACTATAGCCAGGCACCGTACGAGCCATTTTCCATATGCCATTTCACAACTCACCATTTTACATAGGTATTATCATATTCATTCAGTTCATGGGGACTTTGTGGCCACTAATTTCTAGCTAAGATGACCTATGCCTACGTGACTGTGACCAGCTGGGCCTAGGCTGTTTGACAGCCCCTATTTCTCTGCTTCCTTGATTCTCTGGTCATTCTGGCTGGGTAGATGAGCAGGCTGGGCACTCACCTGTCTGTCCCCTGCGAGACTCTGGGCAAAGCCAAGCAGCCTTGGCCAATGTGGCCACTCATGCTCTGTGATTCATTAGACCTCATATACTCCGCTACTCTCCAGGCGGCTAGGAACGGAGCAGCTGCTGTGCTTCTCCAACTGCCTTTCCCCTACCTCCTGCCTCCGGGTGCTTCCAACCAGCCTGCTGCTCCCGCCCCTCTGATGCACGACAGCCGGCACTGCCTGCTCACGACTCAGTGGTTTCCGGGGAACTTGGTGGCGTCTGACTTGTCATTCCTCAGCCCACTCCTCTGAGTCAGGCTCTCCCCAGCCGACTTTATTATTACAACTTCCTCCCTCATTACTACAAACACGGAATGTTGTTTTCCAAATAGTGGTCCCCAAACCACCATCTCCTGTTAGGAGAGGAAGCCAGCCCCATTTGTAATCATCACATTCGACATCACCAGGATATCACTGTGTCCCCCTCACTGCTCTGAGCGCTATGCTAGTGAGGTCATCTCTGACATTAAACGGAGTGAGCTTTCAGCAAGGCAAACTGCTGAGTATTGCAAATCCAAAGACTCTTGAGACTAGCAGTGACCCCATAATCAGAGAGCAGGCAAATCTCCATTCTTTGTGATCCCGAACTCTCAACAGTGCAAAGCTGGGCAAGTTTTCATTTGCTAGGCAAATGCCCTGCTCCTTGCAGCTGGCCAAGGCACCCACGAGAGTAGCTCTGCACTGCAGTGGACGGTCTATTGATTATCCTTTCTGCTGCCACCTTCTACCCTCACCACACTGATCTCAAGGGAGGTGAGGAGGCTGGCCCAGGCATCTGTAATTTAAATCTGGAATCACTCCTGCTCTTCACTAAACTCCTCCATGGCTCTGCCAGGGCCAGGGGAAAACATTGCTGTACCTGAGATGCATGAAGCTTGGGTCTAAGACGAAGTCCCTGTATATGTAGGCAGCCCCAGACAAAGCCATCAAGTCACTGAATTTGCCTCAGCTCAGTCCCAATTCCTCTCTCCTGTTCAACTCACACCCTCCAGAGGACAGAGCAGCTCCTCTGGTGATAGAGGCATTGCCTTGGGAAGAGGGTAAGTTGGGTGGCCAGGTGGACCTTGAGGTAGGTGGCCATGGCACCATGTGGAGGGAAGGCTGCCCTTGAAGGCACTGACATCGCATGCCCCAGGGCTCACTTGTCTTGAAAGGTCAAATAATCAAAATAATCACTCTCTCTTTTTGATTGTTTTGCAAGATTCTTTCATATTTCCCTTTCTCTTTCCCAACTCCACCCTTTCTCCCTAAGAGGCTTTAGGTTTCCTGGAAAGAGTCCAGTTTGGACCACGTCACTTCCTATTTCCTCTCTCTGCCTCATTTTCTCCTCCTTTAAATGAGAATTTACTTGGTAGTTATGAGCATAAAAAGGTAAAGAGGGAAAAACTATTTGCAAGGCCCTATGGCCAGTCACACCCGAGGAGTTATGTTCCTGACTATGCTACACAGGGAAACAGGCCAGGCCACACAAGAAGGGCTGAAACCCCTCTGGCACCTTTTCTCACGCTCGTGGGTATTCTCAGACTCCAACTCCACCTCTCCCAGCCACATCTGTGAATCCCCCCACCCTCCACCAGCATCACAAGGGACTGATGCCTGAGGGCTCAGCAGCCTCAAGCAACAATCCCTGGTCTCTGCCAGGCCTGGTGGGGAAGGAAGGAATGTTGAGAGTGGTAAGTCAGAATATGCAACTCTCAGAATATGAGGCTGGGCAAATACCTATAGGATGGCACATAGCCCTGCCCTCAGATAAGAGGCCTTCCTATCCAGGCTCCTTACTGGAAAGAGAAGCCGTGCTGGAGGGAGGCTTGGCGCCAGAGGACAGCTGGTCCCAAACAGGGGGCAGTCCAGACACCTGCTATCCCACACTGATATCTGGTGAATAGAGAAAGAGTCCTTGGTAGCTGGGACCTTCTCAGCCAGCCCAAATAGGTATTTCAGAGACAAGAAGATGGATATGAGTTTAGGAATGTGGAGAGCATTCTTTTTGATGCCAAGATTTCATCCCTGATGAGACTGCAGCAGCTTGTAGTCCTTCTAAGTGCAACTAAATACAGATGGGTTAATGGCGGGGAGTGGGGAGAAGACTTTAAATAAATTACGAAGGAGGCCATTCAGCCTCACTGCCAAAGCATCAGACAGGATCTCTCCCCTGCACACCATGGGGATGGAGGATGGGCAGCAGTCATCGTCCAGGTGGGACCCTTCTGAAAAGATATTCTCTTAGAAGGAAGCCAAGTCTAAGCACAGCTAGACATTTGGGAATTTTCTCCTGTAAACAAGTCACAAAGAAGGATCCTTGTTGCTAAAGTAATCAGATCTGGGGTCCCTCAGTGCTGAGATCATAGGATGGTATTTATACTTATGGAATGAAAAAACAAAAGCCAGGCACAGAGGTGCCCTAGTTTAACTTTGCTTTCCAGTGTCACGACTTGTAGAGCTCTGATGAATCACTGAGTAAGCAAGTAAATATCTCCAGAAAGCTTAAAGGTTTCCACTGGCATATGCCTTGGTGGTTGTAGCACAAAGCTCTGTTCCAATCTCTACTGAATTACACTGGTGTAGTATCCATGACTAATCCTGCTCTGGGGTACCAAATTCCCGTAGAACCTGCTTGGATGGCCAAAATATTTTGTCCTTTCCCTTCCTGCCCAACTTCTGCTGGTAAAACCCAGTTTCTACCATATTCAATTACTTTCATTCTGGCCTTTTAACATTTCTTTGGCTGTTTTCTTCTTGGCTCCATCTGAACTTTGGGAAATGAACATCTTTAATACCCACTCATGAAATGCCCACTCTGGCAGCTGGTTCTCTGGCTTCTGGAAGGGCCACTAGCCAGGGCAGTCAGAGGGACCCACAAGTCAGTACCCAAGACACCACCTAAGGGATATTAGTAGCAATTGCTCAACGTAGACCTACCGATTCAATGATAATCATAAGTTTGTAAGTAGATGTCACAGACTTTGGAAATGTGTAGCCAAAAGCCAAATCACCTTGTATAAAATCAATTTTGGACATGGAGAAGTACTTACCCATGCTTCCCTGGGGTGGGCATCAGGAGGATCTCTCTTGCAGCCTCGTTGTGGGGCAGCAGCTGGGCAATGTACCTTCCAGAGGGCTGCAGGTGCCTGTGCACTGAGACGGCCAGCGTACAGTGCTCACTGCTGCTCCTCATCCACGGACTCAGGATGGTGTGCTTGGAGTCAGCTGAGGTGTTGAGGAGGAGAAAGGAGCCTGGAAGGAGACAGGGAAAAGGAATCTGTAGATGTGTTCAGGTAAGACCAGCAGTAGCTCTGTGGCAAGACTTAGAGACAAATAGCATCAAAATCAGAGATACTGGAGGCCATTATCTCCTTCTCTGCATGCACCCAGCCTTCTTCCTCCACTCTTAGATTTTCTTTGTAAATAGTATAGCCTGATGCAGGTGGACAGTGACTGGGCACATGGGCCTTATAGTCAGGCAGACCAAGGTTCTAACCTTAGCTCCCCTACTTCCTACTTCTGTATCCTAGAGCCTTAGATTTCTCATCCGCAAAACAGGAATAAAAACATCCATTTCAAAAGACTTTTGTTCCTTCCCTTACTAGTTGAATGATCTTGGGAAAAGCATTAACTTTCCTAGGTTTCAGTTCCCTCCCTTGTAAAATGGGGTGGGAGGGTTGGCTGAACTCAATAATCTCTTAAGGTTCATTTCAGCTCTTGAGCCTATGAGTCATGTGAACTTGCAACTCTCCCCAGAAAAAGCCCTACAAATCCCCCCTGGTGTTGTGCCCGTGGCAGACTTTCCCTCTGGAGCAAGCCAATCCTGATTCCAGTAGCACAGGCCAAATGACCTGCAAGAAACCTACACTCAAGGGGATTACTGTCAGTGCAAAAGCACACCACCATTACATTGTTCCAGGCATTCCCTCTGATACATTAATTTTACTTGCTGCACTTCTGCAATGAAGTTTTGGGCCATTAGATGCTGCTGCTTTTGCAGTAGAAATATATTTCAACAAGATCCCTGACTTCCACAGTGGGAAGCAGCTAAGGAGTACTCAGTCTTCTTAAACTACTCGGTACTTCCAAGGTCTCCTTCTGCAGATAACCCAATTTCCCAAATAGGCAAATAAACTAGCAGCCTGCAATAAGCAATGGTGCAGATAAGAGGGAGATTCCTACCAAGGCAAAGTATTATTCCAAAGGAAGGTGTTCTTCCAGGAATTGGAGATTTCCAACTTTCTTAAAGTAAGTAAAAGCGACTTCTGGTTTAAATCAGGATGAAGCACAAGACTGTGTCTGAGCTGGATTGAGAACGTGAACCCTCTGTACCTGTTGGGAAGTTTCAGCACGGCATATGGTCATGAGAAGTGCTCTACAACCATCAGTAAATAATCTACATTATTACAGTAGTTTGCAGTGGAGGAAATGTTCTTGTCTGGGCACAGAGGAAAAGAAAAGGGATTAGAACCAAAGACAAAGAATTGGGAAGATCATCTAATTCAGTCGCCTTGCTTCCTAGAGAAGCAGACTGGAGATCCAGATAGGGAAATGACTTGTCCAAAGTCTTAGTTTGAAGGTTAAGACCAGACTCCAGATTTCTGGACTCCTAAGCAGTATTCTTCTCCTTGTATCTTTTTCTCTGGCCCACCATGTACTTCAGCCTGAAACATGGCCAAGGTACCTTGTGGCCAGAATGTACAACTTTGGAAGTCAGAGGGGCAGGAAGGTGAATGAGGGGCACATGGGCACCAGACCCAATCCATTTATTCGGTCCCTTCCTTACTCCTTTCTGCCCTCAGATTCCATTTAACGGATGCCTATTTTGAGCAAACATCCAAGCACTGACTGGTCTTGCACTGAGGAGACGATGTGACAGGTACAGTTGTGACCTTCAAGGAACTCCAGGTCTGGCAGGGGCGAAGAGATGTCTGCAAGAACTATCAGCACAAATAGAAGTCATAAAGTCAGACACACATCCAGGCAAAACATGTTGGGAGCCTTCAGGAGGGAGGAGACAGGAGGTCCAGGTGGGAAGATCCATAAAGAGGAAGACCCTTGAGCCAGGTCTTACAGGGAGAGAAAAATAAAGATACTGGCAGAATGGACTGTGCAGAAGTTGAAGGGAAGAGGAATAAGGACAAAGGTAGATGATGTTTGGCTACAGAGTAGGACACTGGAGAGAAAACTAAGAAATAAGGGAGGCTAGGGTGATAGGTGGTGTAACCAGACAATAGAGAGCATTGCTTCCTGGCTGAAGATTTCCAGCTTTATTTTGTGGATAATAGAGAGCCAGATATTTCGAGCAGGAGAATGGCACCATCAGAGTGGTGCTGCAGGAGAACTGATCTGTTATGGTGGGGGCAAGAGGGAATTAATATTGACCCAACCTTATCTTGCACCACAAGTCCACACAAGGGCAAGAATGTGACTAAATACAAATTTGAAGTGTTTGCTATGTTACTGTTGTAAGCAAAGGCAATATGTCGAAGGTAGATGACTGGGGTTTCCAGTACTAGGGTAGTGTGTATCTGTGCAGAGCACATGAGGACCCTGGAAGTATCTTTGGGGACAGAGTCTTGCTCCAGACTCTTTGGGGGTATGGCCTGGGATTAGGATAAAGCCAGTCCCATGTCCGATAATAATTTACACATAAGGGAGCAGCAGCAACTGTGCCCTGGTCTGAGACCATTCTCTGATGTTCTCAAGTTGGCAGAATGTTGAGTAGAAACCAGGAGATTTTTCAGTTACTGAAGGGAAGAATGGGGGCAAAATAAAGAAGGTATCCCCGTTCTTCTCAGGAAGATTATACTTATGCATATGTGCACACGCACGAGAAGCTAAAAAAATCCAGCTGAAGGTGTTGGGGTATTGGGACTAGGGACTCTTCACGTGTCACTGATCCTCTCCACCCTTGGGTGTGGCCATGCATGTAAATTCTGTCCCCGTAATTTGGCACCTCAATAATGGAACTCTTTCAAAGCTGACTGAAAGATTATTTTTCCAGTTCTAATATGTGAGATGATGTTTATATGAACCTTATTTTCCTCAACCTATCAATAAGCAACTGAGCTTAAAGTATTTTCACTGTCAGTGAAACTCTATAGTTGAGAGCTATCTCTTCATCAGCAGCTTTCCTCTACCAAAAATAAGGGAAAAAATACATTTCATAAGCTCCTTGGGATATTGTCAGTATAAATCTTTTAAAGTCAGTAAGAATTTATCTCTCCTCTCTCTCTTTTCCGTTTCCTATTTATTTTGCTCAGGATAGCTTAGGGCTAGGCGAAGTCTCCTGGGGTCCTTTCTAATTAAGAAGGATGGTCTAGCAGCACACAGACCTTCACCCAGTGTGGCCACAGGAGAGTGGAGAGGCAGATCAAAGAGCTCTGCTTATACAGCGCCATGACCATGTTTCTTTTATTATGCATCATGTCAATATGTTTAATGATTAAATATGAAATGGTTATTTTTACCTCTGGTCACCAGTGTAGGAATGTGCTGCTCTCATCAGGCTCAAATTATGGGCAAAACCCAAAGGTCATGAACTTAGAGGTCAAACTCTTTTATATCTGTTCAGTTATTGACCTTAGACAAATTATTTAAACACTTAAATATTAGTTTGCTCAAATTTAATATGGGCATAGCCTACCTCATACGGCTGTTGTGAAGATTAAATAACATGTATCAAGTAGGCAGTACCATGCCTGCTCAAGGTAGGTATGTAATAAATATCAGTTCCCTGTGTTGACAGGTGTCTTAGTCTGGAATTCCTTTGAACTAGGACTAAACCTGGAATCAGAAGGACTAAATTGGAGTAGCTCTGCTACTACCAACCTTCCTTTGTAAAATGAAAGGGTTGGATAGAGTCTCTCTAAGGATTCTTACAGCCCCAAACTGTCAGTAATTCTATCTGCCTGCCTAGAATATTATTAATCTAAAGAAATTGAGTCAAGTCTCCAAGCCTCCAAGTCCTAAACTCTTCTTCTCATAATTCACCTCTCTGAGGTTTATATACCAAAAGTTTTAATCAATTGGCCAAATACTCCATGAACTTTCCTGCTGAGAAGTAAGGAAGTAAGCTGTGGTTCCCTGCCCTGCCTTCCTCTCTCCCAATTTACACACATACATCCCTAGGAAGGGCTCCTGTGCTAGCATCATTTGTTTCTTAGATGCTTCTGCTATAAGGCTGCTAACACCTCTAAATATCTGGTATGCAACACAATGCTTGCCACATGGTAGGTACTCAGTGATCCTAAAAACCAAAGTGATACGGTGGTAACATGGTGATGTCATTTGGATGTGTTTGTTCCTCCAAATCTCATGTTGAAATGTGATTCCCAATGTTGGAGGTGGGGCCTGGTGGGAGGTGATTGGATCACAGGGGCAAATCCGTCATGAATGGTTTAGCTCCATCCCCTTGGTGTAAGTGAGTTCTTACTCAGTTATGTGAGATCTGGTTATTTAAAAGAGTCTGGAACCTCCCCTCCTTTCTCTCTTGCTGTCACTCTCACCATGTGGCATGCTTGCTCCTTGTTGCCTTCTGCCATGATTGTGAGCTTCCCGAGGCCCTCACTAGAAACAGATGCCATTGCCATGCTTCTAGTACAGCCTGCAGAATCATGAGCCAATTAAACCTCTTTTCTTTATAAATTACTCAGCCTTAGGTATTCCTTTACAGTGACACAAGCATGGACTAATACAGAAAACTGGCACCAAGGAGTGGGGTTTTGCTATAAAAATACCTGAAAATATAGAAGTAACTTTGGAACTGAGTAATGGGCAGGGGTTGGAGGAATTTGGGCAGAGGGAGTTCAGAACACAGGAAGATGAGGGAAAGTTTGGAACTTCTTAGAGACTAATTAAATGGTTTTGACCAAAATGCTGATAGAAATACGGACAGTGAAGACTAGGCTAAGGAAGTATCAAATTGAAATTAAAAAGTTGTTGAAAACTGGAGTAAAGGTAACCTGTGCACACCTCAGCAAATAATTTGGCTGCATTCATGTTCATGCCTTAGGGATCTGTGGAAGGTTGAACTTAAGAGTGATAACTTAGGGTATGTGGCAGAAGAAATTTCTAAGTAGCAGAGTTCCTGAGTGGTCTAGCTGCTTCTAATAGTCTATGATCAGATATGGGAGCAAAGACATGACAAACTTGAAACTTATATTTAAAAGGAAAGCAGAGCATAAGGGTTTGGAAAATTTGCAGACTACTCATGTGGTAGAAAGGAAAAGAACATTTTCAGAGGAGGA